TGTTGGTGGAGTCGCTGACTTTATCCACGTCTTCGTCAAAGGTGACCGAGGCTCCCGTCGTCATGTTTCCAGCTCCCAGAGACGGGTTCTTCTTGTACGGATTTGCGGCTTCATGGTGGCTTTTGTCAAAATGACGGCCTAAATCCCATTTCCACTTGTATGTCAGGCCGCACACAATGCACTGATGTGGTCTCTCTTTTGAGTGCACCATAATATGCTTTTGCAGCTCGGTAGGCCATTTAGCGAAGTATTCACAGTGCGGACACGGATATCCCGTCATCTCGATTTCTCCACGCCTAACCACCGTCTCCATGTCCTAGAGTCCAGAAACAGAGCACACATGGAATTAACGTGATATCACCTAAAGCAAACACTCTTATTCAAGACCTACTGATGCTTCCAAAGTCCTAGTCAATTCGAATACTGGTAATGCTGTCGACTGTATTGGTAAATATATACATTCAAATAGGATAGGTATTCAAGAACATTAATAAATCCTGATTATGATTTCCAGTCACCTTATGTCGCATAAAGTGATGAAGAATTGAAAGTTTAATTTTTCCAAACTCACTTTTCCACTCAATTTCACATAGCTTTGCTTCATAAAGAGTAATGCTATCCACTCTGGACTAGCAATATCATTATGGAAAAATTTTAATATCATTTGTTAATTTAATTTCAATTATATCATTTCTTATTTTTTAATTTATACAAATTATAAGGACTAGAAGCCTTAATCATGATTTTATGATAAGTGACGTAACCGACTGTAATGACAAAATACAAGTTTATGTGGTTTATTTGTCCTATTCAGTTTAGTTTGATAAGAGGACTTAAAATTGAATTTCCCCATAATTATATGGGCAGACATTATGTTTCCACCGAATTTCACATAGCCTTACTTCCCCACAGGTATTCTAATCAAGGATGGACTGTAATTCCGACCTCGTCTGGGTCGGAGTGTGGCGCCTCAGCGGGACTCGAACCATGATAGTGTAGCGTATAATTTCGACACGTAAATCACTAGGCCGCATTGCCTTGAGTGCCTTTGAGCAACAGGACACATTCGAATTTCAAGGAATGCCAGGCATTTTCCCATATCACATTCTGTGGTAGAAGTGTCGACTAAGCAAAGTTATATTTGCCATAGCAATCTCTAACATTTTGGTAAAACGAGGCTATGAGAAATTCAATGTAAACCTAAGGTCTGCTCATATAATTGTGAGAAATGTCAACTACCAGTGTCTCCTTATCCCTTTAAATGAAATAGGGGGAATACACCTCATATATATTATCTATTAGTAGCCTCGAAAACCTACTTATAAACAAAAAATGTAAGTCTGTCTCATCGACAATCCCACTGTAAAAATATGGTAGGGGGTACTAATTTGACGCAGGCGGGGTTAAATCTGCAGCCCATCCGAGAGGAGAATGCTCATTTGGAAACAAGTTTAAATGAGCCTCAATGGCATCGTTAGGTTTACCCATCGAATTCTGGGAAAATTTACCATCAGTCCTTCATGATCTATGATGACTATAATTGCTAGTTGTTGAGCTTAGTTCATTTCGAGTGAAAGTGTTGGGTGAAGAGATTCGAAGGTCGGTTCCACCAGATAACGATGGCGGATTGATCTTGACCAGCTGTAGATTGGCTTTACTGGAAGATTCATGCTGACGCTGTTTCCGAGGTAATCTCCTACGATTTCGGTTAGGGTCCTTCATATAACAAACATCATCAAAGCAGGGTAGCATCTTAACAAATAATTCACATATAATTGCTAGATTTGTTAATAGACTTGAACTCTACTTCTTATCAAGAATGGCTGATAAGTTTTATGATGGATTTTTTCAGCAGATATCAACTATGCATGATAAAAATCCTGGAAATTTGAATGCAAAAATCAAGGTCAGAAGTTATCAAGATACATTAAAGGTAAGTTTGTATGGTAAGTTATCGAAGATGAGAAAGGAATAAGTCTATCAAAATCAGCATTGCCATTATTATTGCGTATATATTATTGAAGTTACTTAAAGGAGGGGCAGTTGTATTAGAGGGAAGATGAAATCGTATATAAAAATGATTAGAGTTTTCAAGATGATCATTCGTGATCACACAGAAATATGAGATGTATTCACCCTATTTCGTTAATGGTGATGAAGGATTGGTAGTAGAGTTTTCCCACAATGATATGAGTAGAGCTGACATGCCCATTGAATTTCACATAGCCTTGCTTTCCCAAAAGCTGCTCTCATCCAGGCACTAGTGAACTGCAGTTTCGACTTTGCATAGGTCTTATTAGCAGCCCCAGCGGGAGTCGAACCGTAACATTGCAGAATGTGAGCTTGACACGTTGATAACTCGGCCACATTACCACGAGTGCTCCTGGGTCATAGGACAGATGTCAATTTCAAGGAAGGCCAGACCTTTTGACATATCATATTTTTTGGTGGGTTTCCTACAGAAACCCAGAATTGCTGTCGGCATCAGTGTTTAACAAACTGAGAACTGGCGAAATGGAAAATGAGCACACTTTTAAACGAATCGCCAGGCCTTTTAATGCCTATAGCCTGTCAAAAATACATCAAAAAGTAGGCTCAATTGTCGAAATTATACGCTGCACAACCACAACCCGTGTTCGATTCCTGCCGTGGACGATATTGAGATCTAGGTGAGTTAAGAACTTCAGCCAAACTTGGATGAAAATAGCCCTTTGAAGACAAGACTCAGCGGAATTTAAAAGATACATTAAGCCTATTCATATCATTATGGAAAAATTAACTATCAATTTTCATCACTTTAAGCGACCTTGGGTGGCTAATAGCCTTCTTCAAGATATAATTGTAATCTCTAAATTTTTATCACTGTAAATACAAGGCAAGTACACTTTTAATCTAATACAACGTCATCATAGGAACTTGATCCATTGCCGTTTGACTGAAAAGTCTGAAATACTGGAGTCTATGACAGCTCGTACTAGCTATCGTAAGGGCGTCACTTTTATATACAATCTTATATACAAAAGGATCCAAGAATCTGATTCCTCCTCAAAGAACTAGTTAGTTCATCATTTGTAAAAGGGTTATTACAAATTTTTACTTAGTTGATAATTTTCAACCAATACAGAATTAAACTAATGCCAACTAAGGCTACGCCATCTTGGTCTTCATATCTACGATCTAATTACGGCGGTAAGATTATCAGTCAATGCATTGATTACAGTAGATTAAATAAAACTATGGTAAGTTATTTGACCTTTCATAACTTTTGTAAACATTGTAGCCTGCATCCTAAATTTGCAATTTGACGAGAAAATATCATCCTTATAAGGTCAATTGTATATTATATAAAGCTCCTTTACAAAAATTAGAGACATATGATAGGGAGAGGAAGGATTAGTTAAGTTCTTAGATATTGAATTTAGACTCAGGCCTGATTTGAGTACGATTCGGACACTGAAGGACGATGGCAGACAAAACGTCCAGATAGATATCGGACATAATCGAAACAAGGTACCAGAAGAAGCGGAATAAATATAGGATATACCGCCAGCCCAAGGTTCCACCATCCAGCCAATATAATGACGTATCTCACAGTTCAGAGAAGAAAACGAGACAAAGTAGTGAATCTGTCTTCCATCCCTCTTGACCTGGAAACCGCAGAGATCCTCC